AAATTTCACAAATTGCTTGCTCAGCCCTAATAAAATCAATGAGAACACAAACACTTAGGGCATGCCCTCATAAATGTAAACAAAGGCCAAAATATGTCAAAAATATATATATATATATATATATATATATATGTCATTATTATTAGGATAAAATATAATTATCATTTTTAAAATATGCATTTCGTGTTATTTTAATCTTTTAAATTTTAATTTTCACACTTTTGACTCTAAATTTTCAATTTGAGTCAAATTTGTCAATTTTATTAAAGATTTAGACTACCATTTGAAATTGAATTATTTTGACTAAAATTGAAAATTTTAGAAATGATTTGGCAAAATTAAAATTTTAGAATACTGAGGTAAAGCAAAATACTTTAAGCATCATATGAGGCATTGCTTGGGAACTTAAGTTTTTAGTTAAACAGTTATTTTTACTTTTTTATACGTTTTGTTATAAAAAATTAAAATTATTAACGACAAATTACACCAACACCCTCTGAGATCTAGTCCAATTACATCTTATCCCCTAATGTTTTGAAAGTTACATTCCTACCATTGTGGTTAATAGTCTCATTTCACAAAACTCCTTACTTATATAAAAGACAACAACTCCTCGTAGAGAAATAGAAAAAATTACATTGGAAAAAAAAGTAAAGCAAAGAAAATGGAAAAAAAATCAAAGAAGTAAAGCAAATCAAAAAAAGAGATAGTGCATGAGTTCAATGTCTTCATTCAGTCTAAATAATTACAATGACAAGGAGGTTAGTGTAATTTTTCAAATGTCAAGGAGTGATATGTATTAAACCCAAACTTTAGAGGGGTGTAAGCGTAATTTACCCAATTATTAAAAAAATCAAATCCTAAAGGGGCCTATAATTTACCATTATCTTTGTTGTTATGATGAAGGGATATAATAAAGGTTCAATACTATGAAATGAGTATTGAGTATTAAACTTCTAGGAAGCTTAGCTTGGGTATGCAATATGTATCCCTAATGAATTCCAACTTTACATACAACTTTATGTAACGCGTGACTATATATAACTATTTAGATATTATGATTGATTTCAAAAGTATTTTGCTTCATAAGTTAATGTATAATATAATAGTAATTGTAAGAAAAGTCCATCGCAGAAAGTACAATACTAGAAAACTTTACAAAAAGAGGGGAGAGAGAGAGAGAGTGAAGTAAACTAAAAAGCAGCAATGAGAAGAGAAGATTGTGATCCCATCTTCACTTGTCCTCAGTGGCTTAGGAAAATGAATGAATGAATGAATGGCAACATGGCCCTCCCTAGTAGGCCTTCTCACAACCTGGCTATGGGATAATAAAAGCTCACTTCCCCATTTCATTATGAATGCCTTTTCTCTCTCTTTCTCTCTAGATATATATTAATTATGAGTGTATATCAAATTCAATCCAAATTATGTTTATTTCTTGTTAGCAACTCATGCTTATTTTGAGAAATAAGTTATAAAAGTCATTTCTCATCTTTTAACACACTTTCTCTCTCACAAAAAAAAAGTTAAAATGTTAAAAAAAAAAATTAAAAAATTAACTTTTAACTATCTTCTCAAAACACCCCTCACGTTGCTAGGTTCAACCAGACACTTCTATTTGAATATGTTTTTATCCGTTTTGGTTTATTGATAGATAAAATATATTGGGTTGTTTTGAACTTTAGAGTTTGATGGTTTTAAGCAACTTGTAGCATTGTACTCTCTACATTCACTGGGGGGAGTGCTCCTGCAACGCGCGTGCCAAGATCTGGAATTTATGAATGAAGGAGATGAATAAAAGAGTAATGCTAGAGACCCCAAATATTCTACCAAAAGTTTTACCAAATGTCTCACATGGGTGTGGGACCCACATGGGACCCACATTATGTGGGTCCCACACCCATGTGAGACATTTGGTAAAACTTTTGGTAGAATTTTTGGGGCCTCTAGCATTTTTGTGAATAAAAACTATCCATATTTCTATAGTTTTAAATATCTAAATTAGTTTGATTTTTCATGCTGTTTATTTTTGAAAAATCAAAAAATCGTAATAAAGAAAGTATTCACACTAACAGATATATGTATACTTTTATATAATAGTATAGATAATCAATTTTTTTTTGTTATTTCTTCGCTCATGAACGTAAATTTGTAGTTGAATTAGGTAAATCCTAATGTGTTTATTATTTTATTTATTAATTCTGAATTTCTTGTTCTATCATAATAATATATAGAGTAGTGATTAAGAGTTCTAAAATTAGAAATTTAATTTGAACTCTAATGATGTGACATAAACACAAACACACAAACAAGTATAAGCATCACATCACATGGTGAGTCTCACCATTAGAGCTCCTCCTAAAATTTCAAAATTAGAACTTTCAAACATTTTTGTAATATATATACACATACATATATATGTTGCATTAGGAAGCTATGTTACTTTTATAAATTATCTTAAAGGATGTCTAGACAATTTTGGAATGATGATTCTTCCCGTTCCAAAGCAGTTGGAAAAATATCTCAAGAACCAAAAAACCCCCTTTCTCATTCTTGCCTGAAAAGAAGAGACTCTCTAGCAATCCAACAAGCCTCCATGCACATGCACCTCTTCCACCTCATGACTCATTTCCCTCTTATTTTTCTATACAAAAATGTTATGTACTCAAATATATATATATATATATATATTCAAATAATATTAAGGACTTAAATTTATGGTATTGATTTAAAGTTAGTGCGGTGTGAATCATTTTAAAATGAATCTGATCTGTATTGGATATATACATTAGTATTAGTGGGACTCAAACAAGTAAAATGATAAATAGAATATTATATAGAAATATGATAAATATAATTAGGGGTGTATGCGGTGCAGTTCGAACGATTTGAGAGTAAAATTACAAACCGAATAACGGATTGGCAAATTAGCAGATTTGCAAATCGCGGTTTGGACGGTTTTGAACGGATTGGCGGATTGAAAAATATTCTAACCAATTATCAAGTATTTGCACATAACATTTTTTTATATATATAACACAAATTAATGTTACATAATATGTTTCATATATATAACTACTAATTTGTAAGAAATTTCACATTTTAAATTTCTTTCACACTTATTTTTACTTTGATATTTCATTGGAGGTTGAAAAATATATATGTATTAACTATAGCGGAACAGAACGGTTAGAAAGACGGATTATAAATTTTTAAAGTTCAATCCGCGGTTAGCGGATAGAGCAATGCAGATTGATGCAAATCATTGCGATTTTAATGAATTGAGCGATAATACAATATTATTGGTTGATTACGTGCAAATGCAACTCTAGGGTCAATATATCTTTGTTAAACTTTGAATCATATATTACAAATTAAGAATGAATGTGGAAAATGGTTGGCATGAAAGGGATTTAAGTGGGCCAAAACAGCATGCTTTCACAATCTCAATGTTAGAAGAACAAAGGGCATGTAGACGGTGGTGTGGTTGCAAATTGCAATCTCAATGTGATAACAAATTTTAGGTGGTGCTGGGTGTTGCTCCAAATTCCAACGGAGGGGATGTGAAAGTGAACCCCCCCAGGTGCAACTAGTACTCCAAGATAACCAACTCCACGTGGTCGCCCTGCACGTTATCCTCATCAGAACCTTGATTTATGCTTGTGCTTTTCAAGAAACCACCCTAAATTAACACTCTTTAGGCTCTAAAATCTTGTTTTGCAACATGAGCAGAGTTTTCAAAAACCGCTCTCGGAGAGCAAATGAATCCCACTATCCTTGTTTCTTTGCCTCTAAACCTTTACAATAATTTTCTTGATTTTTTAAAATAAAGTTTATGGTTTGTTTTGTAATTGATTTTAACATGACAATGGAAATGAAATCTTTAGGTTTTTCATAATAACTAGTTTTCACAGTTGTTTATTATGGTTTTCAGGTTAGTTTTTCATTTCATGCTTCTCATAATTTTCACACTTCACTATTCTATTTATTGTATATGTTATTACATGTTTTCTTTGGTAATCTATTTATTCTGGGTATAACTCACGCCATACTAAATTTAATTTTAGGTGTCAATATACCTAGGTTATAACTATATCTATTTCTACTCCAAAATAACTAAGTTCTATTTATGCTCATTTTTCTTTTTCTTTAAAATATTTAATCCTCCAAACGTTATGTGTAATTCAAAATTCTCGCTTAGTTCAATTCAAAGATCATAAATTTTGTACGTGACATTTGTGTACCTTACCATTATGAACATGAACTCTTCACAAATGGATTAAACAAAAACAAGATCTGTAGTGGAGAAGATGTTCCCTTCAAAACAAGAAATCAAATTGAAACTATAAATTGAAGAACAATTATAACAACCATTATATAATCATTAGAGAAGCAACAACTTAAAACAAGTTTAACTTTTTTAATGCATATTCAATAACTGCATTTGCGCAAATCTGTTGAATAAGAAGCCACTTGTTTCGGAGAGGAACTACCAACTTTGTCGGTAATTGATAAAGTTTGAGGAATATTTCTCACTTTGGAGCACAATTATCAATCTCCATGCAACTAGATTAATTATTGTTAATTGTGATAAAAGTTTCACACACCTAGATGTTGTCAAGGACTAGGGGCTCATCAAGGAAATGCGATAAATTTCAAGAAGTCATACAAAAAAGGTTATGCCGACAATGGTTCATCATTATTTTCTCTCGATTTTAAATAGTTTGATTATTATTATCCATCACATTAACTTCAAAACAATAACATATGGTTCAAGACTTCACATGGGTAAAGAAATGAACATATCATCAAATGTTTAAAACCTTGTTTGTGAATACATAAATATATCAAATAACATATTTTATATGCTTTAAACAAAAGGGGGCTTATCATTTGAGAAAGACCCCAAAACAATAATTTTCAATCCCAATCGCAGGCTCCTTATATTTGAACCCCTCCCATCCCTCTAACCCCCTCCACACATTACTTCAAGACAAACTACTACACATTCTACTCTCTCTTCTTTGTCCCATATTCAATCTCTCTCAACATATAGATATAAATCTATTTTCTACCTTTAGAAAGAAAAAAAAAATAGTATTTTTATCACCCCTTCTCTTCTCTATCTGATCTTTCAATACTACTTGGTCTAAAACTTGCCTAATTCTCCTTTGTAATCCCCAAAAAACATACTTCTTGATGTATTACACTACTGATCATCTTCAAACACCAACAATGATTCACACACTAGACCGTGAAAACTTCTTTTCAGGGAGGTGTATATTGGTGAATGGACCTGTCATTGTTGGAGCCGGTCCATCGGGACTAGCAGTTGGTGCTGGCCTAAAACAACAAGGTGTGCCCTTTGTCATCCTTGAAAGGTCAAATTGCATTGCCTCACTTTGGCAAAACCACACTTACGACCGCCTCAAACTTCACCTCCCTAAGCAATTCTGTCAACTACCCTACTTCCCATTTCCAAACAACCTCCCAGAGTACCCCACAAAGTACCAATTCATCAACTATCTTGAATCATATGCTAAGCACTTTGAAATTAAGCCACGATTCAATGAAACAGTCCAATCAGCGAAATATGATGAGACTTGTGGGTTGTGGAGGGTCAAGACCATTGGAAGTGCTAATGGGTCCACGAGAGGGGAGGTTGAGTACATTTGCCGGTGGCTCGTGGTGGCCACCGGTGAAAATGCAGAGAAGGTGGTGCCGGAATTCGAAGGCATGCAAGAGTTTGGTGGCCAAGTTATGCATGCTTGTGACTATAAAACCGGTGAAGACTATAGAGGAAAGCGCGTTTTAGTAATCGGTTGTGGAAATTCAGGCATGGAAGTCTCTCTTGATCTTTGCCACCACAATGCAATTCCATCAATGGTGGTACGGAGCTCGGTGAGTATAATTTCACCATTTACTGATCTTCTGGTACCATGTTCAGTAGCAGCTCAACATTTTTTGAAACCTTAGGCAAAACATTGAAGTGAAATATTGTCTTATTGTGCCGTGAAAAAATTAGAGCCTTCAACAATGAAAATTTTTTGAATTTTTCTTGTGGGCCTTAGGCGAGAGACCAAATGGCCCACCTCTGTAATTTTAAATTATAACTCTGGTTTCTGTTTTTAATCAACAGGTTCATGTTTTGCCAAGAGAAATTCTTGGGAAATCGACGTTTGATCTAGCAGTTTTGATGATGAAATGTCTGCCAATTGGGCTAGTTGACAAAATATTGCTAGTGACAGCAAGGTTGGTTCTTGGAAACATAGAGAAGTATGGTCTGAAAAGGCCAAGTATAGGTCCTTTACAGCTCAAGAATACTGAAGGAAAGACACCTGTGTTGGACATTGGTACAATACAAAAAATTAGATCTGGTGAGATCAAAGTAGTCCCTGGAATCAAGAGGTTCTCGCCCGGTAGAGTCGAGCTCGTCAATGGTGAAAGTCTTGAGATTGATTCAGTTATTTTGGCAACTGGGTATTGCAGCAATGTACCTTCTTGGTTAAAGGTGAGAACTTAATAATATTATAGTATATGGGTTTTTAGGTTCTTTGTATGTATGGATTCATGTGACGGTCATGGAAGTTGAGTTTCTTTTAGATTCTCTGTTCCTATCCTGTGACAGGGTATGGATTCTCTGTTCATGTGACAGATATTTTTCAGGTTGTTAGGTTCTGTTGGTGGTTTTTTATTGTCATAATTGTTTTTCAATTATTCTAAAATATGTTTCAGAAGTTTCTTGTACTGTGTTTTTCTGAAATTAGAATTGTCTTTCCAAGAGAATACTGATTAGAGGATAAATGGACAGAGTTGTCTTGTGTTTCTTTGTCTCAATGGATTGTGACCTGAGAATTCCAAGACATAAAAAAATTTCAGATATAATAGCATAACTGAGAGCGCATGGGGACACAAGACATGGGATTTGGGGGAGCTTCTATTTACACACACTCATTCCCCTCTTTACACATCTTTTTCAATAAATAATTGGTTCGGAAGTAGATTTCCGAAAATAAGTAATTGGTTCGGAAGTTGCTTTCCGAAAATAAACAATTAGTTCGGAAGTAGACTTCCGAATTTTTATTATTTTTTCGACACTCAACTTCCGAATGTGTTTATTTGATGTCTATAATAGTAATTTTACTTGAAAAAAAATTTATAATAAAAATAATTTTTATGAAGTGTGTGCAAAGAGGGGAAGGTGAATGTGTAAATAGAAGCTCCCGGGATTTGGGGATAAATGGTCCTGTTATATTTTTTACTATTTTGCCCTTTTTTATTTTACTGATGTTAATGTAAAATAAACCGTCGTTTCTTTAATGCATATAGTGCATATTCTCCTAGAGAAGAGTCTAACCCTTGTTTGGGTTGTTTTGTGTCTGTTTTTCCAGGAAAGTGAATTCTTTTCCAGAAATGGGTTTCCAAAATCTCCATTTCCAAATGGGTGGAAAGGGAAAGCTGGACTGTATGCCGTTGGATTCACAAGGAGAGGTCTCTCTGGGGCATCAATAGATGCATTTAGAGTAGCAAATGACATTGGCAAAATCTGGAAAGAAGAAACAGAGCACAAGAAGCATTCTGTCACTGTTGCTTGTCATCGGCGATGCAAATCCCATTGCTAAATTTGCCAGAACTTTGCTAACGAGAGTGTTCTTTTTTCCCTTTCTTTTTCTAGTTTTTAGAAGGTAACTTATTGACCAAACTCAGATCAAGTCATGTATAAAAGAATAAGTTTAACATAAAAGTATCAACACTATATATGATAGCACGAAGATGGACCCTATTGTGCTAACAATTACATTTTTGATACTTTAAAAAAAAAAAATTAATTCTGCATATGTACATTTTCTCATGTACAAAATAAGGTGATAAGAAAAGAAACACATAAAAACAGAGAGTCGCCCTCTCCGGGAAAATCCCAAGTCTTGGAATGGTTTGGGCATTTTTGTAAAAAGGAAGATGAGGCTTTTTTTTCTTTTCTTTTTGTTTTTTTTTTTTTTTTGTTCTCTAGTTTTTAGCAAGCCTTTTTTTGTATACAATTCAATAATCCAAGTGAAATGAAAAGGACTCTCTCTCTCTCCATCCAATTGAATTTAATATAGGGTAATGCTAAGGACACCAAATTTTCTACCAAACAAATGATCAAATGTCTTTTCTACCAAACAAATGACCAAATGTCTCACATGGGTGTGGGGTCAGCAATTTTGTGGGCCCCACACCTATGTGAGACATTTAGTCATTTATGTGATAGAAAATTTAGGACCTCTAGCATTTTCCTTTAATATATCTCTATCTCTCTCTTCACAATTTGTTCCAGCTAGTCATAAATATAACTAATGGGCTCTATATCCACAATCTGGCCAACCAAGGACCCATTAAATATATGTCGGCCCTATGTCCACTACATCCCAAATATCTAGCGCTGGCCCACCAAGGACCCATTAAATATATGTCGGCCCTATGTCCAATATATCCCAAATATTTGGGCTGAGCAAGAAATTAGTAAAATTCGTAATTTGATCCGGCTCAGTCCAATCCGATAGGTTTAGATTGATTTTTTGAATCCGTGGATCGATTCCGGATTAGAAATTTCAAAATTCGTAGACCACAGATCGGTTTCGGATTGAATCCCAAGGTTCTTGATTGAAACCGATCCAGACCGTCTAAAAATAATCTATATTTATACTATATACCGTGTATGTTTTTTCTTTTGATTCTGATATAGTGTTATTCATTGTGCTAAGGAAGCAAGACAAAAGATAGAAAACTTAGTTTGCATGTTACCAATTAAGGTGCATCCATAAATATTGAAAGCTGGGCTCATTCTTGAAGTAACTTGAGAAAAATAAATATAAATATATTACAATAAGTTAACCATATACTATGTATATATGTATTTTATATTGACAAAAGCATTCATCACACTAAAATCATCCATTGATGAGCCATCTAGCTTATTCGGTAGCAAACTGATTTATCAACAATGTTAGCTAATTTGGTAGAAAACAAATACATCGCCAAAAAATTATGCATGATCTTATCAATTCCTAACATAAGAATGGTGGTTCAGTTATTTCTTGACAGTATCACACAAATAGGCCCACACAAAGGATGTTGTTTGTTTTAAATGCTCTATATTTTTTTTGTTATTTAATTATGTGAATTCGTGGTCCTAAACCGATCAAATCCGTGTTTAAACGAATTGGTTCGGATTGTTTCTACAATTTAAACGGATTGAATTGATTCTAATTTTTTAGGAATCGTAGATAACGGATTGGTCTTGGTTTTCTCCCAATCCAAATCAATCTGAACCATGCTCACCCCCTGCAAATATCTCTATTCCCTTTATGCCATGTTTGGTTGGGGATTTAGAGAGGGATTTGAAAATAAAAAGAAAAAAAAATTATGAAATTAGGTGAAATGTACGTATATTTATTCATATATTACCTACCTTTCTCCTTTTATTTTTTTTAAGGAAAATGTGTTGGACCCCCTCAAGGAGGCACCCCCTTTGACCCCCTCTCTCTCTTATTGGCCGGTTTTTCTTTTTTCTTTTTCTTTTTTTGCTTCTCCTCCAATCACCACCCGCCACGTGTATATGGGGGGTGGTGGGTGTAGTGATTGGAGAGGGTGTCAATCACTTCCCTTTTTTTAAATCCTTTCTCAAATTTTTCAACAAAACAGTGTTCCTGTGAAACAGACTCTTGACTTGGGGAAGTATGCACAATGTTGGCATGCACATGGATGCTACTTGGCTCCATTCACAGTGATTACCCACCCTTGAGTCTTGAGCAACTAGTGTACACAAAGTACACCAAGTCTCCATGCTACCACCCACATGGATATAGAGCCCACAGAGGGAAGATTAAACAGATCTCATTCTTCAACGAGTCTAGTTGAAGATTTCTCATGTCTAGGGCATAAAAATGAGTAATTATTCAATAGTTTGGAACATCAATTCAGCATGTAATTGATTTGGTCAATGCTGAAGAAAGATTAAGCAGTGCATTCAATCCTTCGGTGTTGTTGGTTTTGTTGGCTGCAGGAATAGTCATTTTATTCCGATCTGCAAGGCTCGTCCATACCCACTCAAATTGAGTGGATTTTATCTGACCAGACACTCACGTGGGATGAGGGTGAATTATATTTTGATCATCCGCAACGAGAGTGGGGCGGGACAGGTATTTGCAAGTGGAGACAAGGACAAGGGACGACAAACTCGCTCTGTGACCATCCCTAGTTCATTGAGAACCTAAATTGACCACATGTTATGGTTCAATTTTATAGTTTCGTGTGGGGCAGGATTCATGCAAGACTTTTGAGATGTTATAAAAGCCTATAAAATTTCACATCCGAAAGAAATGAAGAGCGAGGGTGGCGTTCAAGTAATTTATTAGTATTTTCTTCTACTTGAAGAATAAAAATATAAAAGTAATTAAATATAATATTTTGGTCCTTGTACTTTAAAAAATCAATAAAAAACAATATTCAATTGCTATATCCATTAATGGGTGTTTGGGAGGAGTTATATTAAGTACATATTTAACATTTTACATAAATGCATAAAGTGACCGTCCTCATATTTGAATCCGTAAATTCAAGGTTTTTAAGAAAAATCAATAAAAAATCAAATTACCAATCAGTCTCAAACGATCGGTTCAACTTCTCTAATTTTTCTGACTACACTATGTGACATGATATTTTCAGAAGTTGAACTAATTAGAACAATAGTTAGACGATTAGTGATGCGGAGCCAATATGATTCATCTATCGGTTCAATTCCATAGATTTATTTCCTTACAACGTTATATGACATGATATTCTCACAATTTAAACCAATATAAACAATAATTATAGAATTAATAAAGCCATCTAATTCACCTTAGTCCCCTTCATTCCTCCCCTTTTTCAGATCTCATCGTTTAATACATGTCACCATTGCACTCCAAAATGTCCAAAAAATTGAAATGACAATGCCATGAAATGTTTTGACTAGTCTAAAACTTTGTTCCAACATCTTGCATGTATGCCACTTCCCACATGTATCTAGCCAGTCAACACCTCCTCTAGCTTATAAATGACTTCAATTCCAAGGGAAAAATTGAATGGATGAACCACCTCTATTCCTCAAACCTCCCATAGAATTCCCACACTCATTCCATCCACAAATTCCTTTCCTCAAAGTCAAAATATATTAGTATAACATTCACTCTCAGTTTTGCTCAACAACCCAATATCTAAACTTATTAAATGGTTTAACAAAAAAAATCATTTTCAACTCACAAACAGTACAATTATCAAGCGACTTATTTTTAGACGAATTAAGTTTAATTCTTTTTGGTATTGCATTCAAGTTTAATTTATACACGTTATTTATAGTCCAATGTGACCCTATCTTAACAATGCTCCTCATCACCACAAAAAATAATAATTAAAAAAAAAAAAAATCATTTCTCATCCTTCTCCCATTTTCCCTCTAAACTATTTTTCTTAAAACACAAAGGTGGTCTAATATGACCTTAGTTTGGAGAGGTTCCTAACAGCATTTAACAAAAAAAAAAAAATCATTTCCCATCCATGTCCCCTTTTTTAATCTCTAAACTATTTTCTCTTAAAAGCCATTAAACTAAAATCTGCAAGGATCAATTGATTTGTATTTTTTTTAAGAAGTTCCAATTTTCTTTTCTATTTAAGTAAAACAAATCAGATCACGAGAAGGTTCCAACTTTAGCCTGCATTGACATACAACCAAATATAACCAGGAAATATCTTATTTTACTTGTGTCATTTATTTCCTTAGCCCCCCCTGATCCCACATGAATTAATTTCCCATTTCACATTGCACAAGAAATGAGATGAGTAATATTTCATCTAGAAAAACAAAAGTAGATGTAAAGACATCCCACATGAGTCTCCATGATGTTGATTTTTTTATTTTATTTTTTATATTTTTTAAAAGATAAAACAAAACATTATAATAAATCCAAGAAAATTAGAAAAGTTGAGACTTGAAACTCACTTGGTCTATGTAGAAAACCTTTCATCCCAACGGTCCATCTAGAAGTCTTTTGTTACCACACACTAAAAATCTTAGCAGTTGTGTTTGCATTTTGAATTTCTGGAGATAAAAGAGGGCGGGGAAAAAAAATTTAACTTCTTCTTCATTTCTCTTTTCCATCCACAATTCACTCTACAAATTCAAGATCCAAATGCAGAATAAAAATAATATTATTAATAGGCAATTTCTCTTTGTTTCAACTTGTTTCACACACAGATTTGAGTGTGTGAGTTTGGCACTATAGCTTCCAGGTTGTAACATGGGATCTACAGTTGTGTCTCTGTCCTTTTCAATTGGAACTTCTTAAGGTTCTTTGTGCCTTTCACTTTTAGACATCACTGTCACCAATAGAGAGAAAACACATGGGGGTGACCATCACTTGCATTCCTCTGTTTCTCACCTGAAAAAGCCCATTCCTTCTTGTTGTGATTGTATGTATGTATGTATGTATGTATGTATGTCTTAAGCCCTATATCTATCTTCTGGTGTATACTACATTTGGAGGTTTTGGACACTCTGTCACTTGCATTCTAGTTGTCACAATAAATACGACAACTACAAAACAAAACAAATCCATTTTACAGTCTCATATTTGATTGTACCAAAATCATTCTCTCTCCTCTCCCGTGATTTTCTCTTTTTCACGTGTAATAAATATGACAACTACAAAACAAAACAAATTCAATTCATTTTACAGTCTCATATTTGATTGTACCAAATTCATTCTCTCTCCTCTCTCCGGTGATTCTCTCTTTTTCACGTGTAATAAATGTCTCACTAAAATTTTATAGACCCAAGTAACTAATAAAAGCAACAAGGGGCCATCTTTATTTTCAGATCTGATGCGAGATGAAAATTGCATCTTCCAATTGGTTGAAAAGCCTCTCAAAAACAACTCATTTTCTTCTATCAAAAAGAATAGACTCAATAATTAGTAATTACAGACTCTGAGTGACCTTTCACTGTACCACCAAAATAGGGGTGGAATCTACGAATAAGCTTTCATTGAAGAGCTGTCATTACTCACAAATCACAGAAGCTTGCTGGTTTGCCGCCTTGATGGCCCACCTGGAAAGAGCTTCATTATCCAACCCAATACCCTTTCCACCACCTAATCAAAGGAAAGGAGAAGTGAAATATCTTTTATGAAGCATTACCATTGAAGAAAACTAAATATTAAAAAAAAAAAATGCAACTTGCTTTACTTACTGTATGAGATTTTTTCAGTAAATTATATGATTGGGGAGTTGTGACAATTACAAATTAATACAAAGCTTAGAGAGAATGGAGGCGACAGCAGTGATCAGATCCACTGCTGAGAGACCTACGGCGAGGGTTTGGTCAATCAAGAGAGAGTGTGCAGAAGAGAGACAAGGGGAGAGATGTCAGTGGTGGGTTGTGGTGTAGAGAGGGATAGTAACTAAATTTAGATTGCGAGGGCAACAAGGTAATATTACCTTTTTTGTTACCACTCCTAACAGAGAAAAACACCGACATGGGAGGTCAATGCAATTTTCAGAACATTTGGAGGAAATTGGTATTGAACACAAACCTCAGGCGAGGTAGATGGTATTTACTCTATTTATTTATCAATATAATACATAACATAAATTATATTTACAATATTTTTACAGTTACAATATAAAATTAATAATAATAAAAAAAGAACCAAAAACAACCATCAATTATTTTAAGGATCCCATGACATCAAATACTAACCCTCATCTACATAGTACGAAGACATGACATGTTTCCAAACCTTTGGAGTAAAAAATGGTTACTACTCTAAACAATTGATAATAATAATATACCTCATCGCCTTCATCTGCGTATGGAGTGTTGTCTTGCATGCTGCAAGGATCTAGTGGTCTTGTTGAAATATTTTCATTTGCCATACTTTGAGCAGTCAAAAGCTCTAATCTTTGTGTTTGAGTTTCAAGTTTTCGGGATAAGTCCTTGTTTAATTCCTTCATTTATAAATAAGAAAAGAAATAAGATTAAATTAATAGACAAGGACACAACAGTCTGAGATGAGTAATTGTGAGCCAAGGAAACAATTTAGAGGCAAATATTGAAAGATACTTATTTTCAAGAATTAAAACAATTTATCATTCCAATCAAATTTCAAAATATAATTCCTAACTAAAGATATTAGAGTAATATTATTGGCTTTAATGTGCATGTGAGACAAATACCAGCAACCTGAACTTGAATAGCTTTAAACATCATCTCAGGCTTGTGACAGAGACACAGCACTAGATAAAGTACTGTACAGACCAAAAGTACCTTTAGATTGGAGCTTTCATGTGATTCAGCCAACAATGCTTGCATCAACTTTTCTTTCTCCAATGATAACTGCAAATACATAAAGTCGACCACTTTGTGATTCTAAAAGTATACTCAGTCACATTACTTCAATTAATTCATCAGTTAATAGAAATGTGAAAAGAAAAAAATGTATATGATGAACGACCAGGACCATACAAAAATAAAAGAGAAAGAGTCAGTCCTGATAGAAACAACTGAAACTGAAATATAATGATGGAACAGATGATACCTCAGAAATTAAGGCGTTAATGCTTAGAATCATTCTCATCTGATCAGGCGGAATATTTAAAGATGCAACTTGAATATTTAACTGTCCATCATCAGGAAGCAAGGAGGAACTGGAGGCATCACTTCCAGCAGTACTATGCATTTCCAAGTTTGAGGTGTCCGCTGTAGTATCCGCATTGTTCAAGTGGACTGAGTTAACAATATCAACACCCAAAATACTGATAAAATGTGTAAAAGAAAAAAAACAACTTTAAAAACCATAAGTATATTTTCAGTAATTCGCATTCCAAAATTACCAAAAGCAGAGAACTATATAAGCACTAAAGCCCGGAGCTATCAGAATTAGTTACCTAAATCCTCTGTAGAAGTTGACACATCTTTTTTGTTAGTGGGATTCTTGCTAACATCAACAAACTTTCCATTTACAGAAGCTTTCATTAGCTTAACTTGCAACAACTTTTTCTCTGAGTGAAGGGAATGATGATGAAAAGGATCAAAACAGAGCCAGTGTAATAAAATTTACTGAGTAATTTTAAGATTAATCCACCTTGTAAACAAATAACTAAAATAAAAAAAATTATTTTCTTGAGATAGCACTATGGCACCCTAACAAAGATCTAAATAGTTAAGCAGAAATTAACAATTATACACAATAATGAACAAACAATAAGTTTACTCGTTGATCTAACTGCAACAGCAATAGTTAAGCATAACAAGCATGCTAACCTTCTTGCAGAGCATCAATAGTCAATTGTAAATCTTGCCGCTCTTTTTCAAGGCTCGACATTTTCTTTCTGCCAAATTCGACATGAAAAAGCTACTGTTAAATATTTAATCATGCTGAGCACAACTTGCCAAGAAAAATCACAAACTGGAAACTTGCTCATCCTCTTGTAGGATGTTGTAGAAGCCAAGGTGAATCATATGAATTGTCAAAAACATAATAAGTGAACATGGCAAGCACCAAGTCCCACTTCCCCACTTCATCACAAAATATACAAAATTGTATCTATAAAATAAGACCAGGAAAATTTTAATCCACTTTGTGCAAGTTTTGAATGAGCAAACATACGTGAGGCACCAATCTGCATTGTTATGAACTCCCTTTTCATCCATCATTCATCATTATTACGCTTATTGTCAAGCAAAAGTGTATCAAAAAATGAAAAGAAGGCAAGAATTTTCATTGATGGTTACTTCAGAAATAATCAATACCAAACAAGTTCCACTATCTTGTAAATGAATTTAGAAATCTCAATTATTCAAGCATATCCTTCTAGCTTCTGATGCCACGAACAGTTGAGTTGACAACTCCACATAATATGTCTTTCTTTTTTCCTATTCTTTTATCAGTAGGTAGTAAAAAAAATATTATCATATATTTTACATATAGAAATTAAAACATTATATCATTGTACATAACCAACAGCATTTGCAAGCAAGATAGCTTATAAACTATGATAAGATCAATTTTTTTTTCTCCTTTAATACACTACAAATATTACTAACAATTAATAAAACACATTATTGTGTATAATTCAGCCATTTGTGAACTATTGAAGGCTACAATTGTCACAAACTTCATACATAGTTTCTAAATTACTTGCAATTACCAAAATAATTTCACAATACTGCAGAATGAAAATAAATGTTTATTCATGCACAGTTTTAGATGATGTCAACTCCACCTAAGAAACAGCTAACACTGAAAACATATAAGAGAAACAAAAATAAGTAGCGAAACTAAAGACATATCACAAAACTAATCCTTTACTTTCAAAAAAGGTAAGGCATACTTGAAGGAAGAAATTTCAGCTTGTGAGTTCTCCAATTGCCTCTCCAATTTTAACTCACTAGACCTCAGTCTAAGTGCCTGCAAAAATATATTAGATAACTCATTAATAAAAGTTGTAGGGGAGAGAGAGAGAGAGAGAGCTGCCAACTAAAAATTTGGTGCAACTGAATCACTAAGTCAAGCATCTAAGATCCAGGGAAAATGCAGAATGAAATATCATAAAAGGATTTTGTTAATGAGTGCCCTAAGGGCACTAGTTACGAAGCTCAAAATGGATGTACATTTATTATAAAAGTGTGATCCATAAAGAATGTACAACCACTATAATCTGATAATTGCTTCACAATTTCTTCTCCATTAGAAGGAAGTTCAATACAAAAGAGTGGAATCATATTTGAACAGATAGTTAGAAAGCAAAATTATATTTACCACAGAAAAAATCTACCTTCTCTTCCAAGCCAATAACTTCAGAAGCCAACAACTTTGCATGTTCATCAGATGCATTACATTCTAGCTGAACATTAGCATATTCCCTTTTTAGAGACTCAAGGTCCTCCTGCAAACATCAAAGAAGACCCCTGATCAACAATGAGAATGCAAAACTCCAGAAATAAGTGTAAAATTTAAAACATATTCATTATGCTTGGTACAACACACGCTTTCAAACATCATGAAAGAAAAATATAAGAAAATGAAATAGTCGTTAGGCAACAATTGATTGCTATAAATTCACAAGTTAACTGAGTGACAAACCCTTGAAACTTCTTGGTGTATAGCAGCAATTTATTTCTCCAAAAAATTACATTAAACCTACATGGATTGGTCATAAGGTGGGGAACTGAAAAAGGGCTAGGATAGGATTTCTGATGCAGATCATGCAAACAAGAAAAACAATAAATAGAAAGTTCATAAGAAGCACACTTCAAACCTTTTGTAACCAAGTTTTGGGTTGAGTCAATTTTGAGTTCACATTCTGTTTAGGTTAATCTGTTTGATCAAGTTCATGCAATTTTGTGCAAAATATGCCAAAGGTTAGGTCCACACCCAATCTATCCCCTCTCAAAACCCAATCAAATGGGAACTAAACTGGAAGTAGTTTATCAAGTTCACAGGCCAAGGGTGTTTATTTGGCCTTTATATGTGGTCTTCCTTTGTTCAAGCATGATTTTGTAAGCTAAAGTTTTAAAGTATCCAATTTCGAATTCCTAGACCTAGAAGAATTAAAAGATATCTAGCATAAGCATCTATGTAATCTTCCCATTTTTCAACATAGTTGTGATTTGAGCATTTGGCAGAAACTTTTGAAGCTTTGAGTAATGAGTGATGAGAGGCTAATCTCACGACTCGGTTTTTCAGATTATCATTTTCCTTGAAAAGGGATTCGAAGCACTAATGACAATCCAAGGTGGCAACTTTTTGTAAGGTATCATTGGAAGATACTTATGATTGGTCAATTAATGAAAATGCTTCAGATTCTTCTCTTCATTATAAAGGGATTCTAAGCACTAAATACATCCAAGGTGACAAAATCATCTCTTATTCGACTTGGCACTTACCAAAGAAAATCTCATCTCTTATCAAAAGAAAAATTACGAGTACAAACAAAAACAAATACAAAAACAGGAAAAAAAATTAAACCTTTAAGGTCAACCTTATAAAGTTGTTGCCCTACATTTGCAAGATTTCAAAAATTCATTGATGCAAAATAAATAAAAGAAACTCACTTTTCCCCGTAAGTTGGGACATAATTGACACTAACCAGTTGGGCCTTAATTTCTTCCTGTAACTTTTCCATCTCAGATTTTAGTTGGTTGACAACACTTCCCTGAAAAGGAAAGAAATTCATCAACTGAAAGCATGATACCATCAAGTGATTAAGAGACTGTTTGAAAATTTAAGCACACTTATTAGCCTTGGGCCAGATAGAACCAAGTAGAATACAATGTAATTAGCGATAAATAATAGTTATAGAGATGTTCCCAGACCTCAACGCAATTTTCCAAACTGGTTGAAAAGCCACCCACCAACTTTAACCCACATTCAAACAAGCTGGACCAGGTTTTGGGTTCCCAAACACTTTCAAACACATTTGATTTTCTTTGAGATATATTACGTCAACACAAAAAAATAAATCCTTGAGACACAACAGTGTTGAACCTTAACTCATTCAAAAAATTCTTATCATGTTTGTCATGAATCATGATACTAAAAATCAATAACATTTAAAATTAATCAAGCTTGCTTTCCTCGATGAAAGCCCACAGAAGGGCCAAGGCACAACAAGCCTACCCATCATCAAAGCAAGCCCAAGCCCATGCATGAATGACCTCATTGTCATGGAAGCCCTTTCCTTACATCAACACAAAAAAATAAATCCTTGAGACACAACAGTGTTGAACCCTTGACTCATTCAAAAAATTCTTATCATGTTTGTCATGAATCATGATATTAAAGATCAATAACATTTAAAATTAACACCAGGGATACATATTACATACCATGGTCATAAGAAAATAAATCCTTATTTGGTATTCCCTAAAAGCAAATATAACCTTTTTTGTTCTTTTTCCCATTATAACACTGTTGATAAAAAATGTAAACACTGTTAATTCATGGTAAATCTGTTGATATGTATGCCATTTTACATTGCTAAATACATATATGCATGAATTGTGCATACAGTGTGCATTTCTGTTTATATGACACAGCTTGGAACAGTATGGTCTAACAAGCTGTCAAATATCACTTACAGATCCAAGAATCATCAATGCAAGCCAACCTGTTGATTATAACTATCTGTCAGTGCCGAATTTTCAGAAGCTAAAGACTCTGCTAACGTTTGTGAAGCCTCCAGAGCTCGCTGCAAAGAGAATTTTTCTTGTGTCAAATCTTCAATGTGCTGCAAAAGAAAGGAAAAGAAAACAGATGTAAGAAGAAGTATAGGAAATGTTAGTTTCTCTCAAGAACAAGAAAGAGGAACGAGAGGAGGCAAAAAAAATTCTACTCAATAAATAAATAGTTTGCATTACTAGGAAAAACAGGAATAGGAAACAATTTACAAATGGAAAGTTAGAATGACATCAACTGAAGATAAAATAAGAAAAAATCAATTGAGATGGTTTGCCTATGTGCAACATTAGCCAACTAATATGGTGATATAAAGGAGTGATTTGATCTGGAGTTAAAGGTGCTAAAAGGACAAGAGGCACGCTGAGATGTGGGTTTAGACCCAAAACAGTAAATGATTGCTTTGAACTTAACAGATAATATGGCTTTGCATAAAGTTGCAGATAATGGATTCCTGTAGCCAACCCAAGTGACGGAGTCGGCCAGACCAACCTTCTCCTATTGGTCACGGAAGCTATCTCCTTGACACTTAAGCTTGCAATAATCTAATATGAGATCTTATAAAACCATAAATAGAACTCCCAAGTACAAGGCCTCTATAGTCATTATCTGCACTTGCAAGGCCACATAAGCTCAAGAAGGTGCTCATGGGTAAGATAGAAAGTGTCTAATAAACCTTCCTTCTTTGCACACTATTGAATTGAAGCCACCCTCTTTCCCAACCTACTCAACCCAAGGCAGACAAAGAATATTTGATGCACAACACTATTGAACATTTTCTGGTCCTTTTACATTGCTTGGACAGTATTTTGAAAGATCAAAGTCCATTGATTACAAACAAACACTAGCATCAGGAACTTAAATCTGACAGGCCCCTTACAACAGATTCACTTACTGTTAGCATTAGCATCAGGAAGCCACCACTGAGCAACATAACTATCTTAAGACAAACTTTATTTTTTAGGTTTAATTTTAATAGAGCAATATGAGACAACGTAATTAAACTTCCAGAAATACCAGAAATATGAACCTGTTCCAAAGCCGCAAAGTCTTCATCCTGTTTTCGGGAATAAGAATCGTGTCTCCTATCCATGTTTTCATTGAAAGTATGACCATACATGTCATCCCCATTTCTAGCAGAAACTGTAGAGGTCATGGAATGCTCAAATGCACTAGCTACATTAGGATCCCTGAACTTTGAGAAAGGATGAATTGTTTCAGTCTCGGCAAATGACGTCTCAAAAGCAGATGATGCCACAGCATGCCTGTCACTGAATTTTGAACTCTCAACCCTCCCAGGTTCAGTAAGCGGAATTTTTGGCATATTAATAGAATCAAGGAAAGATGGACGAGATCTCCTAGTGCTAATTTCAGCTACAGCTGGATACAGTGGTAGATGACTAGATGAACTTCTGCCATCAAAACTGAAAGCAGTAGATGGAGATTCAGATGGCCACGATGGTGTGCTGTTTCCACTATGAAAGTGACTAAGTGAGTTTTTTTCCCCCATATCAGAAATCACAGTATTAGTAGACTCCGTAACAGCATGTATGTTTTGCCCAACTTGAAAATAAGACTCTGTAATCTTGGTGGAAGGTTGAATAGAATCTACCACAAAAAATAAATGAATAAATAAATAAATACGGTAGTCAGTTTTTTCTTAAAAAAATTAGACAATGAAGAAAAAAGAAAAAGATAAGAAAAAGAAAAGCCAACAACAATGTTACCTTCATATGAGGATAATGTCAGGCCAGTGGCCAGTGGCCTGCTATAACCATTGTTGTATTGCAGTAAGACACTACCAGAATTTTCAAGAGAGACATTTGTAACAGTAACATGAGAAGTAGGACTTCCAAATGTAAAATCCGTCAAATGACTTTCATTATCTTTTAAATGGGTTTCCTCCAACCCATACTGACTAGGTTGACTGGAATTGCCATTGGTTTCTGCTTGAGGATGGAAAGCAACAGATTGATCTGTAATAATCCTATACGCAGTTCTTCCTGTGGCTCCAGTAGAAATGGCAAAGTCATCATTATTCTCTTGTGTCTGGGCGCTATAATTCACATTTACTGTTCCATCAGAATGTGATGCATTGTACCTATCAAATTCTTGATTCTTCACAGGAGCCTGCACTGTTTCTGTAGATAATGCGTTATAATATTTTGTTTGCAAGGGAGGATTAGCATGTGTGTTATAAGAAGCTAGCTCATTATTCTCGACGAACTCAATCACATTATTTTCATCAACTACTACAAGTGATGGTTCAACAACCGCTTCACTAACTCCATCAGATGTACCAGCTCCATTTGAATCTAAAGGTTGCTTGTCATGCCTCGCAACAGTAGCAGTACAAACGTGACTTGCGGATACAACCTTTTTCGCTCGGTCTGCTGCTTTCTTCTTACGGAACTCTTCCAGCTGCAAGGTAAGATAAAAGCAACCAAAAATAAAAGCACAATTTACTCAAGGAAAAATTGATAAAAAACAGCTAAAAGGAGGAATACTTGAACCAGAAAGATTTTGAGACATTTATCCAAAGCACCTTGAGTGAAAGGCAAACACAGACAGAGATGAGTATAAAATGTATAATAAACAATCACTGACTCTAGTATTCATTTTGTAATGGGAAAGAAAAAATTTTACTAACTGTGAATAATCATTATGGATAGAGTTGGCATTATGGATTTCATTTCTATAAGGCATTGGTGTTAATTGGGCTCAACTAATTGTTATATTAAGGTCGGTTGACGGTGAAGTTACTAAGGGGAGAAGAAATTATTAAATTAGAATGATTAGAAAAGCCTTGGTCGTCTCAAACCATGTTGCTTGCAAGAAATTTAACTAACCAAAGAACCACTTGAACTTTGTTGAATTTTGGATGGTGGTGGCTCATCTAACTTTGGCTTTGAATTCTGGACAAGATGGGTTGTTGGCTCGGGGACTTCATATACTTTGGGTTCCTCCAGCTCCTTAAGGTCGGAGAGAATCATGATTATTTTCCCATTGTCCTTGTGGTGTGGCAATGGGTCTTTGAGGACGTCTGCTCAACTTTCATCACCTTCCAGACTAGACTTCTGAGTTGGGTCTTTGAGGTCCCAAGTGGAGTAGGAGCTCTAACGAAGACCAGGAAATCAGCTAAAGGGAAGGGTAGAGGTCACAAGTGGAGTAGGAGCTCTAACGTGGTGGTTCCCATTTGTGGTAGTGAGGTTCACTTCAGAGCCATCTTGCTAAAGTGGTTGACCATCTGAGTTGGTTGTGGGAGAGATTGTTAGTTAAGGCAATGACAATGAGACATTGAGGCCTCTTTGTCACATTAGTAAGGCCTCTATCAAGAACTATCGGGTCTGTTGCACAGAGGCCAAGTTATCAGCCACTGAGCATAACTAATCCAGGATGATGGGCTGAAAAGATTGCTCCGTCAACTGGGCATCAAATGGATGTGCTTGCTCTCAGACTTCGGTTATCTCTTAACTACCATAGGAGATAATGACACCTCCTCCCTGGGTGCTATTCCTTAGAGCCATACAAAGTGAGGGATGGAAGATGGTGACGTGACCACGTGGGACCCTTCTGCAAAAATGGAGGCCAGAAGCCAACAAGGAGATGATGTGGCTATGCCTCATGGGGAGGCCATATAGCCATACCTACAACAACAAATTGATTTTTGATTGAATCTAGGTCGTCGTTCAAACAAGGAACGGAAAATTCTAATTAAGCTTCCTGCAAAGCTCCTAGGTTTTGAACACAATCTTCATAGTATGAGCTCAAGATCTTTTGTCCAGGATTAAGATTTCCAGTCATTTTTTCTAAGCATCATGTGTATTCTGTCAATCTAATGTTGTCTTTGTAAATTGGACGGTATAGTTAGCAAAATGTACTCAATGGTGAAAGTACTAACAATAGTAAGTTCTCAAAGGCCGACAAAGCATAAATACCTAACCAACCATATGGGTTCTCCAGTTGTCCAACAATACATTACAAACATATATGCACAAATCCACACAAATCACTTTTTGAAGCATTCACCCAATTTTGATTTCAAAAAATGCCCATAGAATTGCTAATTTAATGAATAAACATGCCACATCCAGTAAATAATTGCTAAGCAATAAACCAACCCATATTTCTCATTCAGCAAACAGCACACACATTTAGATAACAGTTGTTACCCACTTTCGTCACAAAAAACAAAACTTTGACAATCTAAACCAACAACCCATTTGAACAATTTCAGTATATAAATGGAACGATCAAATTTGGAGAACAAGCCATACCCGTCGCTTTCCAGCTTCCAAATGCTCTTGCTTCTTAGCCAAATTAGGCAAAACCAGAGCCGACGCCATTAATGCAAACGAATCACAACCTCAAAGCTCCTAGGGCTGGCTCTACAAACTCAATTGAAACGTTCACGAATGCAATTCAGGTCAAGAGATTTACAGAAAAAATTAACGTATTATATGAAAATTTGATCAATGGGTTTAGCGGCAACAAAAATATTTGAATTGGACGAGACAAAACCCTAATTTGGAGACAAAATGGTCCGATCAGGTCGGAGAGAAGAACTGGGTGAGACGAGTGCTGTCTGATTTGATTTGTTCGAACAGATCTCCGGCTTCCCCCATTGTTATTTTCCTTATTTTTAGGGTGACGATAGACAAAGAACTTTGGTTTGAGTTTTTTTTTAATTAAGTTTTTTAAAATTTGATTTTTTAAATTTTTTTTTAGTGAATATACTTGTCAAGAAATCCATTTATAATTCCATAATTCTAATACAACTTTAGATGCACCTTAGTTAGATGTATCTAAAAAGTAAAAAATTTGTGAAAAAATATTTTAAAAAAATTAATAAATATATAAAAATACAAAAAAAAATGTATTGAATTCTCATTTTTTTATATTTTTATATTTTTGGTATTTAGTAAATTTTTAAAAGATTTTTTTCACAATTTTTTTTTTGTATTTATATTAGGTGTGTCTAAAAAGTAAAAAATATTACTTAAAATATTTTAAAAATTCAATAAAAACAAAAAAATACCAAAAATAAAAAGTATAATTTTTTAAAAAGTATTTTTTGAAAAATGGAAACAAGCAAGGTTAATAGTGTCAACCAAATATTAAAGAATAAAAAATAAAAAAACAAAAAATAAAAAAAGAAAGAAAGAAAGAAAGAAAAACAAGTTAAAATATCACATCATCATAGGGTCATTTTATTTACACACCACTTTCCTTCTCAAGATAAATCACTAATTAATTTATTTTTTATTACAATTTTAACCTTAAATTAAATGACTATAAATGACAAGTTATGATACACCCATTTGTGTATTTACCATAAAGGACAAGAATCAATATAATATAAATTATAAATTTCAAACTTGTTCCTTACGTATCTTCTCTGTTAATAATCAAAAACCCTAAAACCAAAATTAAAAAGCTTTCAATAATAATAAAAAATATGGTATTATTGAAGATTTTGATTGGATTCAATGAAGGATGCATCTGACAATTCTCATTCGAAACAATAGAGCAATAAAAAGTTTTTTTTTTTTTTCGTCTTCGTCTTCGTTTTTGTTTATGAGTGGTAAATCGTTGTTCGGCTAACCAGAGGTGAATGATATATCATTGTTCGACAAACTACAATTGAACAAATTACATCTGTTCAACAAATTACAATCGAACAAATTACATATGTTCAACAGACTATAATTGAACAACTTACATCTGTCCAACAGACTACAATCGAACAAGTGCAATTTGTTTAGATTACTAAGGTCGAACTTTTTCATTTAATTCAACTCTGTACTGCTGAACAGTTATAAATTTTTTTTTTTTTTTTTCAGAACTGTGCATCCGTGGAATGCAGTAATGTTGGATCTGGGGGTCTTGTTGACTACACGAGTCAATTTATTACTAATGAGGTAGTCTTATGTCGAAAATTAATATTTTTTTCTTTTTGTTTTCGTATGTTTAATGACTTTGTTGAATTTGACTTCTAGGTTTTCGAGAGCAAAGAAGAATTGCTCGGCTGGGTACGAGACGTTGGAAGGAAAAATAGGTTTGTGATTGTCATCAAGACATCGGACTATACTGGTGACCATAGGACAGCAATGATATTTTATTGCCTGTGAGAGAAGTAGTCAATACAGAGCTCATAAGAAATTAAAATGAGATGATTCAAGCAAAAAAATTGTGAAGATAATGGGTACGAAGAAATGCGGGTGTCCCTTTGAGTTAAGGGCTCGTAAGTTGATGGTTGATGATGATTGGATGGTAGATGTAGCATGTGGAATGCATAGCCATGCTCCTACAAAACATTTTGAAGGACATTCATTTGCAGGGAGATTATCTAAGGAGGAAAAATCATTATTAGTGGATATGTCCAAAAGCATGGTCAGACCGAAAGAGATTTTGGATACATTGAAACGAAAGGATACTTTGAATGTAACCACTATGAAAACCATTTACAATGTATGCCATAAGAATAATGTTATTGAGAAAGTTGGGAGATCACAAATGCAACATTTGTTGGGTGAGCTAGAAAAGCATAATTACATTGAGCGACATAGGTGTGACAACAACACGATGACTGTCACAGACTTGTTTTGGGCACATCTTGTCAGTTTAGATTTGCTCTGTTCATTTCTAAAGGTGTTGATCATGGACTTCACATATAAGACAAATCAATATCGTTTTCCTTTTCTTGAGATAGTTGGTGTGACATCCACTGATATGTCATTCTCCGTAGCCTTTGCATATCTCCAATTTGAGCGGATTGATAATTACGTTTGGATGTTAACTACATTGCGTAGTCTCTTGGATGACATTGCTATTCTTGAGGTGATTGTTACGGACAGGGAGCTTGCTTTGATGAATGCTATTGACAGGGTATTTTCTACATCTCGACATTTATTATGCCGATGGCATATTAGTAGAAATATACTGGCGAAATGCAAGAAAATGTTTAAGAGAAAGGACGAATGGGACAAGTTTATCTCTTTATGGAATTTCTTAGTACTCTCCTCAACTGAGCTTAAATACAATGAACACCTTGCTAGGCTACTTGCAGATTTTGATACATATCCTGAGGCACTGCAATATGTGTCACAAAGTTGGTTAATTCCATATAAGGATAAGTTTGTTGCCATATGGACAGATAGTTGTATGCACTTCGAGAATGTTACAACCAACAGATAATACATATTTGTCTACCTTACACTATTAGGCATTATGATTTTGATTATTTAAACTTAATTATGTTAATTGTTTCTAGTGTACACAGGGCTGAAAGTGCACATGCAAAACTAAAACGGCAACTTGGTTTTAACCAAGTAAATTTTGAGTGTTCTTGGACCAAGATCCATAGTTTGCTTGAGTTGCAACATATTGATATTAAGGCATCGTTTGAGAAGAGTTTAACCGTTGAACAACACCAGTTCAAACCATCCCATTTTAGAGAGCTCCGAGACAATTTCTCTATTACTGCATTAAATCATGTCTTAGCGGAGAGTAAGCGAGCGAATGATGTTGGCATTGATGGTTCAGTATGTGGATGTGCTGTTCGACGAATACACGGGTTACCGTGTGTCCATGAGATTACGGATTACATCCGGCAGGATCGTCCAATACCATTTGATAGCATTAACCCACACTGGAGGACTCTTGAGGTAGTACAAAAGTTGAAGAATGATAAAGTGGAATTGAGTTGTGAACCAAAGTTTGATCTCATACTTAAGCGATTCAATACATCTGATTACACTACGCAGTTGGAAATTCTGCATAAGTTAGGAGAGATTGCAGATCCGCAAAGTAGTTTTCTCATTGAGCCGAATGTGAAGCCCAATCCTCGAGGAAAGGGACATAAGAAGATAGATGTATCTACGCGTCGAAACCCATGTGCATTTGAGCTAGTTCAGTCCAGACATGATAGCCACTCACCTATGGGCACCCAGATCCCCACAGAAGATTCTGTCAAAGTACATAAAAAAGGGCCTGCCAAAGAGAAGGTACATGTAATCATTTTTTATTTACATTTTTTATTATGGTCAATTACGTGATTTGTTGATCATGTGTTGATGCCTTCCCTGTTGAATAGGTATATCGGACTCGCACAAATACAACCTATTCATATGTTGATGCCCTCCCAGTTGGATTAAAGTCGTGCATACATCTTATTAAGGATGTAGATGCCGATGGGAATTGTGGGTTTAGAGCTATTGCTGGGTTGATGGGGTTTATAGAGGCTGAATGGGGTCAAGTCAGGCGTGATCTTCTACAGGAATTGCACATACACATAGGCCATTACACTCATCTATATGGTTCACATGACAGGATTGAAGGATTGACCTATATTTTATCATACTTTGAGCCAAATCCAGGGTATCACCGTTGGATGACTATGCCTGACATGGGTCATCTTATTGCATCTTGTTATAATGTGGTATTGCACCACTTATCTGCACAACAATGCCTTACATTCCTCCCCCTACGATCAGTGCCAATATCACAAGTTCAACAGCGTGAGATTGCTATTGGGTTTGTTAATGGGAATCATTTTGTCCAGGTATAGCATTATAGTTTGTGTAATACATTTATCATTTTATACTGCATTGCTCTCATACTTAAAGCTTTGTCAATGTAGGTGTTCATGTTACCGGGTCATCCAGTTCCATCGATAGCTACCAATTGCTGCAAGTTTCATCATTCTTGTGCGGCTGGATGGGATACTGCATATAGTTGCCAAATTGAGCATTTTAAACAAGTTGTTCATTCAGGGGTAGCTACTAGAGAGACATTTGATTGTATTAACCTTGATGAGTAATGATGTATGTGAGTTGAGTTGAATTGTAGTTATGCAATTTAAATAGTTACCGATACATTTTTGTGGATTAGCATTTAAATAGTTGAGTTGGATTAAGCTTTGAGTTAATTTAATGCACATGGTAGTACTTGTTCATTGCGGTGTAGCAAATGCATTGGCATAATACTTCCTGTTGATTACCAAAAATACAAACCACGAATACTTGTTCATTCCAAAATATTGGTAGAGTAATTCTTGTTCATCACAAAACAACAAAAACATCAAAAGAGTACTTTTATTCTGTTACGTAATAACAAAACAAGATTACCAGAAAACCAACTACCTATCATGTACTCGTCTCCTACGATTGCATGTTCGAAATGGAATAGAACTAGGTCCAACCTCATTGATTTGTTGACCCTGAAGAACACGTGACATCCTTTCAATGGCCTCATATAACCTATCTGGCTCACGAACACTAGCATTATGGCCCGCTTCAATGATAGGATGCGCAATCCGTAGTGCATGATCAATATGCTGTATTAAGAACAAATAAAATTGTAATTAGCACATGTCATCCTTAAAAAAAAATGTAAACGATGCGTGCGCAATATTGTCATACCTCAGCGTCCTGCACATCAGATCTACTATTTTGTACACGTGGGTCAAAACCAGACCGATGTGTGGGGTTCTGGATATATAGTGTGTGATGTTTGCATACCACTGTATGTAACCATCAATACAATCAGCCGGACGTCTGACTGGGGTACTCCTCCTCCGAGTAGATAAAACATGATTATTCCAACTTTCCCATATCTGATCAAGATACTGATTCATTACTCTATATCGGCCTGCTATGACATCTTTAACAGCACGAACAAGGTTGAGTGGCGCAGGTGGGATGGTCTGTACCCTACCAAACTGTCTAAGAACCCTTTCAGGATGATAGGGTTCAACTACATCCAAACATTTCAAACAACCGTTGTAGAATGTGATCTCATGACATGGGTGATGTTGAAGGCAATCTTGATATGGATCCCAAGTAACCTAAGAGAGAAACACAAATGAAATCTTGATGAGTGACATGGAATGAGAACACTTAATTGAACTAATATTAATTGTTATACCTCATCAAATGCCAATCTGTCAAGCTCCTCTCGTAGCGCCTGTAGGTGTGATATCGTTGAACCAACTTCCCGACGAGGAGTCCATCGATGCACATGAGGCAATTGTATAGTATATTCCATGTTTTGGTGAGGTCTAAATGGCCATAAATGCTTATAAATCCATGCCTCCAACAATGTCATGTAACCAGCCATCTATCAAACAGCTGATCTCGTGGCAAATCCCAACTGTCTATATAAATATGTCAATGCAGCTGCACCCTAAGCATATGTATGAACACCAGTCACATCCATCAACAACTGCAAGTACACAATAGGAACTCTCGTCCCACTCTTGTCGCTGAACAGTGTACATCCCAATAGGAATAGCAAATATGCTCTGGCGGTACAAACTATGGACTCCTCGGTGCCTGAATCTTTGCAATCACTGAATTTGCTCCGTAGTGTGATGAGCAAAATATATATTTACTAAATTATTAAAGGTGTGCTTTTAGTAGTGGTTTGCCTTGAGCTAATTTATGGTGTGTAAATAGAGGCTCCCATAATCATATGGGATTCATTATTGGAGTTTTATTAGAGCTCTTAAATTAGAGCTACCAAACATTATTGTTATTTTTATTGGAGATATTAAGAGTGTTCAACGGTATCCGTCTAAATTGATCAAATCGAAGTTATTTATTGTATTTTGAACGAATGTGTAGTGACAAGTGAACATTTGTAAATTTATTTTTTTTTAATTTGCCTAGTTTTGAACGGATAGTGAATTTGAGATTTTATTGGTCACAATTGAATCGTTAAATCGCGAGTATTTCTAGTAATTTGTAAGTTTTGTATTTTTAATTTGTTTAAATATTCAGTTTTTGTTTCAATTGAAAAAGAGTTTAAATATTTTGTTGTGTTTTTAATTTGTTTTCAATTTGGAAATTCTTTTATATGACTAGAGTTGATATTTAATATTTTTGTGTGAAAAATATAAAGCTTAATTTTGTTATTTTTAAAAAAATCAAATTAAATAGTTTTTAAATAAAAAAATAGTAATGAAATAGTTTTGATAATACATGATCTTCTTATATATATATTTATTATTGGTATTTGAAACATTACTTGATAATTTTTTAATTATGTTGAGTTAGATTGTTATTAAAAAAAATATTGACAAATTGTTATGTTATGTTTAAAATTTATAAAAGTTTAAACTATCAAATCAATTCGCATCTATTTACTAATCCGCACAATTTGCATTTATCAATCCGGCGAATAGATGTGGATTGATTTTTTTTAATCCGTCAATCTGACAGATAAATAAAAAATAAAGGCTCCGTTTGGTTAGGGTTTCAAATTATAGTTTCACCCATTGATTTGAGTGTATTGTTTGTTTTAAACTTTCAAATCATAATTCTACACTCATTTCTCAAAACTCAATTCAAAACATAATCATTACTTTTCAAAACTCATAACTAAACACATAATTCAAAACTCTTTTTAAACTTAATTCAAATTAATATTTTAATTTTTTAAATATTTTAAATATTTAAATATTTTAAAAATATTTTAATTTTGTTAAGATTTTAAATATTTAAATGTTTAAATATGTTACGATTTTCTTAATTTTTTAATTTTTTAATTTTTTGAATATTTTTAAATATTTTAATTTCAAAATATTAAGATTTTAATTTTTTAAAATTTAAAATATTTTATAAAAATAAATTCAAACTCTATTTTATAAAAATATTTTTAAATATTTTAATTTTTTTGTTATGTATTTGGTTACAATTTGAGTGTAAAGTTGTGAAAGTAGTATGGAGTTTCGAATTATGTATTTGGTTATGAGTTTTAAAAATAATTTCTTAATTGAGTTTTGTTTTATGTGTTTGGTTACAATTTGAGTGTAGAGTTGTTTTTAAATTTAAAATATTAACATTTTAAATTATTTAAATTTTTTGAATATTTAAATTATTTAAATTTTTACGATTTAAATTTTTTGAATATTTTATTTTAATTTTTTACTTATTAAATTGTTTAGATTATTTAAATTATTTAAATATTTATGATTTAAAATTTTTGAATATTTATTTTGGAAAAAAAATTATTTCCTTTGTAGTATTTTCAATTAAAAAATTGATTAATGTTATTTTCTGTTAATAATAAAAAAAATTTAATTGAATTTTAAAGAGAGTTTGGTTATGAGTGTTGATCAGAATTTTCAATAGTGTGAAAGTAGTGTGTTTTGTTATGAGTTATAACAATTTGAATTAAATTTTGAAAACTTTTTTCAAAACTCATAACCAAACAAATTTTCTTATTTCACATGTCAAATCAAACTTTCAAAACTCAATTTCACACTCAATTCAAAACTCAATTCAACACTCTCTTAAAAAGCCATAACCAAACAAATTTTCTACGCTCAAATCATAATTCTACAAGTCTCAAACTCAAAATACAATTCACACTCTCAAATCATATTTACAAAACTCTACCAAACACAACCTAAAAATTCTCCGATCACAATCGAACTGCAAACACATATAGAGAGCTCTAGAGGTGAGCCTTATTTTATAATTTGATGTTTTGACTTGTGATGTTACATTTTGTTTATTATATATTGTCACATCACTAGAGTTGACATTAAAATTCTAACTCTAATAGTCTCAATCATCACTCTAATATTTAAATCGACGTTACCATTACAGCTCTTACGCTAGGATGTACGGGGTTGTATCAATACCCTAGTTTTAATTTTTTATTCGTAATGTTGCTGTTATAATTTTTTTTTTTTTTCTTTTCAAACCATTTCTATCTTTTTTTTTTTTTTTTTTTTTTTTTTTTTTTTTTTTTTTTGGCATGTCTAAGTGAGATAACGGGCCATTCCCTTTTCTTTTTTTCTTGATAAGTAACACAAATTGAGTTTTGAAAACTATATAAGAATCTGGAAAATTTGGCTAAAAGTCCATTTTTGAGTGCTTTTATAGCGTTTAAGGTTTGTTCTTTATAGGTCATACAATCTTATATTATTTGTTTGGTGTTGGATTCTATCATTAGGTGGCAAGCATAATTCATGATATTTTTAGGAGAAATAATAATACAGTACACAGTCAAACAAAATTTATAAATTAATGAAAAAATATATACACTATACTAATTAAAATGTTATATTTTTTTTATGATTTTGTAATTTTTTTTTACCGTCACTACTGCAAAGTTATTCTCTCATATTTTTATCCTTTAGGCGTATGTTGTGTTAAATTTTTTTAAATGTTATAACTTTAATTATATAAATTGATTATTTTTTTTAATTTGACAGATAGATATATCTATTTTCATTTTATGATTTAAAAATGCACAATTAGATCTACATGTCCTCATCTTTAATTTGAATGTGGATACATATAATTTTTATTTTTAATTCAAAAATGACATATAAATATTTGTATCCATTTTTCTAATTTGAAAGTGGATATAGGGGGTTCCATTTTTTTTCTGCAAATTTTCGTATTCAATATAATTTTTATTTTAATATCTCATAAAGATGAATCGAAAATATAACTTTATTTGAAAAATGAAAACAATTTTACAGAATTGAAATTATGAAATTTTAGAATTTTAATACAAAACACTTATATGCAAAGTTTCTATAAGGTTGATTATGCTTGAAATTGAGTGGTATTTAAATCTTATTAATGTGCTCATGATCCTATAAGATTAGAGTTTGATTTGATTGCCCACAAATTTTCATAATTAAAAATATGACTAGAATATCTTTATTATTTATTATTATTATTATTATTATTATTTATAAATAACACGAATTTCTACAAATTTCGAAAGTTATATAAAATTTGTCATAAAATTTTCAAGAATGGCAGTAATGGCACAGAATTATTTGAAGCAATCATCAATTCAAAATTAATCCACACAAAAAAAAACAATTACTCAACTATTCAAGTCAAAAGTAAATAATTTTTGCTACAACCAACTTTCAAAATAAGATGAAACAAAAGGAACTCGTATGTAAACAAACCGTAATTGTAACTCCAATCAACTGCTTGATCATAATTTTTTGAAAAATGCTTCGGACCCCCATTGGGGGTCGACCCCCAGTGAGGTGGCGCGCCGTGATTGGACAAAAAAAACTGTTTTATTTATTTATTTATTTTTTTGAATTTCAGCCAGTGGGGGCTCGCCACCTCACTGGGGGTGCGACCCCCACCGGGGGTCTGCAACATAATTGTAATTTTTTATACCATTATCTTTTATGTATAAACCTGAGACCTCTACACATCACACGTTCAAAAGACGACTCAAGACACCAGAAATCATATGAAAAACAAGTAAAATACTACTCATTGAACAAATCCACAATTTTGTTTATTTTAATTTTTAATTTAACTTAGCTTATAACCTTTGACATAGCAAAATATTGGAAATACTACTCATCGTGGCCTGCAACAATGATGTCTCTGATGCGTTTGAGACGAGCTGACAATTTCTCGCGATTGGGCAGGTTTTCTTTGATCACAGGAACTTCTTTCAAATTCTGAACCCAAGCATACAAGCGAGGCAAAGTGGTTGGGTCTAACAATGTAGGATTACTAGTGCCTAATATTACTTCTTCCATGACTTCAAACCACTGAACAAGCCATCCAAATGATAAGTCTACTAGTCCCAAAGTGTTGCCCCCAAAGAACTTTTTGTCCCCAAGGCCTTGCTCTTCTATGGTCTTCAAAACTTCAAGCACTTGTTTTGTTGCTTTCTCTTGTGTCTCTCTGGTGGATCGGATGAAATCATAGAAAATAAGACCCTAGTTGGCCACAAATTATTATGTTGAAGTCAGAAGCGGAATCAAGAAAGTTTATTATAGGCCGAAGTGGATAAAAGTGTGGACCAAATAAGGTGAAAACTATTTGATAGCTAAATGCAAAATTGGGGGAAATGATTCTAAGCAAACTGATCCTACCCAGAGCAATATAACAAAAAAGAAGAAGAAAATTGTAAATGTTTTCAGAACTTCTTCATTTATTCTTGCACTCTTACCAAACAGTACTATGTAGCAATTGAACTATATATGAACAAAAAATTCAGATGTTTGCTTGAACACAAGAGAGCTGTTGTTATTTAGCAAAAATATTAATGAAGACGGTGCATTTTCAATATTCTTCAATTAATTTGGCATCTGTTTATGATCTATTTAGGAACTTTTGAAATGAAAATATTGGATCATGCATAAATTAGTCATGCAGAAGCCAAAATATCTCTCTCTCTTTTTTCTTTTTTTTTCAAAAGGTTTTTGGAACGGACCAATTAATTGACCATAACTGCAAACCTTTAAAAAGTCTACTTAACAAAACATAAAAGGTCATCAAGGGGCCAACCATGAGCATTCTTATCAATATCGACTAGAATAGGATAATTAAACACAATACCAAGAGAAAACTCATAAAAGTATATCTTTATCAAAGGAAATAGACCCCACCTAACTTTATTACATTGAATTAAGAAGATGTGCAGACTAAAGTAAGTCATTTTATGGCCTAAAAAGGCCCAACAATGGGGGTAGTGCAAAACGGGAATTCACAGGTGCCCACTCAATAAGGACTCGAGCCATAACTTGACTCTAATCTTTGATAAGGAGTCGATGAGTCAAAAATTAAGATTTAACAACTGAAAGTAAGATAAAAATAACAGCATGATGATGTACTTACCTTCTGTTCTCCAAAATTGATCCAAAACCTAGCCATGGCTCTCTCATAAACATCCTCCGGCAGCAACGGATTCTCTGGCCATGTTTCTTCGATGTATTCAAGGATTACAGATGACTCAGCGATCGGTTTTCCACCATGAACAAGCACTGGAATCTTCTTGTGAACTGGATTATACTGTAACAGCAATTCACTCTTGTTGAGAGGTCTTCTTCTATGTACTCGTACTTGACACCCTTTAGTTTCAGAGCCCATATCACTTTGCAACTGTAAGGACTAGCCCAACATCCATGAAGCTTCACTTCTTCCATGGTTTGATGAGCTCTCTGAGTCTTCTTTCTTGGAAGAGACCCCCCTTTATTTTAAAGGTTGTTTTGCGACCATTTAGGCAGTATTAGCATGTTTGATTGGAAGGATTAAAGCATGGGATTGAGATTATTAATCCGCGGGTCCAATTATTCTATATTTGTTTTGACATTTTATTTTAGGATTATCAATCCAATGGATAATTAATCTAACAAATTTGTAGAATTATTAATAATGGAGTAAGGGTGGGATTGTGAATACCACACTAATTTAATTGAATTATTAATATCGTACTATTAATCTTATGGAATCAATCATGACCTATGTGTTTTCTTCCTTGTGTTTGCCCCTTGGGCTATTCTATCCATGAAGTCAACAAGAGGACAATATATTAATTGGGCTATTTTGAAAAGTTGGTTTTTAGTCACTTTTTAAGTTTGTAGTAAAAGTTAAAAGTTAACTTTTTTATATTTTTTTATTTGAAAACTTGGTTTTTAGTTATTGGTGAAATTACAATTCTATCTCCATGGGTCAAAATGTGCTGCAAGGATGAAGTTATAAATATTTTAAATTGAATAGGGGTAGTTTGGTTATTTTATTGTGATTTGACATCATAAATAAATATTAATCAAAAAATTCAAAAGTAATTTTTTACCAACTTCACAAATCATTTGTCTAAAAAAGCCAAAAACTTGGTTAAAAGCTAAAAAGTTATTTTTTACCATCTTTTCAAAATAGGCTATAGTAAACAAGTATAGTAACTAAAAAATAATGAAAACTATATTTAATGTCATATTTGATTCACAAGATTAATAATAAAGAAATTAATAATCTCATCAAATTAGTGTGATATACATTATCCAATTAGATTAGTAGGATAAATTAAACCCTTGTCCATTGTTTGATTTGCATTGAATAAGAAAATATATAAATGTAATATTATAACTATATTTATCTTCTTTTCCAATCTTACCCTCTATCAATATTTCTTTAAAATCTTTACTTTATCAAAATTTCTTCATAAATGTGATTTTGAAAAAAATTATAAATAAATAAATAAAAGTAAAATAAAAATAAAAAATACAAAGGCCATGTTTGGTTTGTTTTTTAATTTTTTCATAAATATAAACTAATTTGATAAAATAAATATCAAAAAATATTTTTAGCCTTCTAAAATATAAAATTATATAAAAATAATAAGTGTTTTATTTTTTAGTCAAGGGTAAAAGAGTCTTTTTATTTTATTTCCCAACTCAAAATATATAATCTCATCCCTACCCCATTATTAATAATCTTACAAATTTGTTGAATTAATTATCCATCAAATTAATAATCTCGAAACAAAATTTCAAAACAAATACAAAATTATTGAGTCCACAAATTAATAATCTCAATCTCATACTATAATCCTATCAATCAAACATATTCAAAAGTCACAAATTTTTAAAAACACAATTAACTATTATTTAGATATTATGTGCTCAATAGTCCCAGGCAATACACCCACCAGGCACCAACCACTAAAGCCCTTCACCAAACAGAAACACAGGCCATTGACCAAACAGAGAAATTTAACATAGATCAAAAACCAACATCACACTGCTACAACTGTCATAGAGATACCAGTAACATCTTCCACTCACTGATGCTTGAAAAACACAGAAATTTAACATAGACCAAAAACCAACATCACACTACTACAACTGTCATAGAGATACCCGTAACATCTTCCACTGATGCTTGAAAAACACGAACATCTTGTTGAAAGTAGGAAGTTTTTCTTTCATAGAGATGTCAGTATGACAGTAACATCTCCCTCAGATGCTTGAACAACACAATCATCTTGTCTCGATCAGGAAGGTTTTCTTTGATCTCAGACACTTCCTTGAAATTTTTTTTCCATGAATGCAAGCGAGGGAATGACTCTGCTTCTAGCAACTTCACACCTATTATCTCTTCCATGACTTCCAACCAGTAAGCAATCCATCCCAAGGCTATGTCCACCATTCCAACATTCTCTCCGCCGAAGAACTTCTTGTCGCCAAGGGCATGTTCTTCTATGGTTCTCAGCATTTCCAAGCTACCCTGCCTGGCCTTTTCATGTTCTTCCCCGGAGGTTCGAAACATTGTCCAAATTATTATACCCTATAGTACCATACTAAACAAAAATCATCAAAGATGAAAACAAAGGCATGTTCAATCTTAACCCTCAACTATGCTACATAGGACATTTTTCATAACCCTTAGATTATTTAATCTTTACCCTCAACTATGTCGCATAAATAAGACACTTTTCAAAAAGATTTGTTTTATTATATAGATTAATAGAGAGTTAATGATTCAATATAAAGTTTTTTTAAACGATTTTTCTTTCTTAAAAATACTGAAACAAATAAAAAAGGTGAAAATATTTACCTTATCTTCAACAAATTTAGCCCAAAATCGAGCGCTAGCCCTATCGTATGGGTTGTTTGGCAGCAAGGGGTTGTGTGGCCATGTCTCTTCTATGTATTCAAGGATAACCATAGACTCACAAATTGGTTTTCCACCATGGACAAACACTGGGATCTTCTTGTGAACTGGGTTGTACTGTAGAAGCAGAGGACTTTTGTTGGAAAGATCTTCTTCTACATATTGGTAAGGTATGCCCTTTAGTTTCAGAGCCCATATGACTCTGCAACTAAATGGACTTGACCATGATCCCAATAGCTTCACTTCCTCCATCTTTGAGGTGTCAATGTGAGAGCCCCTTTGTTCTTGGGTCAACTTATAGTGGTTGTTGGACAACCATTCTTGGGCACCAAGCTAACAATGTCAAAGAATTAATTGTTTATATAAATTATATTAATATATATTGATAGTTGGACGGCTACTAACTACATATACACCTGTGTAAGAATTTTTAATGCTGGAGGGAGATTGAGAGTTTTGTGATTCTTAAATTTTCATTTTTATGTATAATACGACTAATCTAAAACCTATTAAATTTTCATTTTTATATAAAATACCAGTAATCTTGATATTCAATTAACTTCAATTTTGACAAGTATACAAGACTAGTATATAAAATTCAATAGAGAGATTTACAAAAAGATGAAACATATTAAAGAATATACATACACCAAAGAACTTTTCTCCATCAATAGAGTTGAGATGCTCACATACAACAAGCAAATCACATTGCAAACCAGATATGGGGGTTCATATCAAAACTACAAACCAATCAAAACAGAAATAGAAGAGGGAATTAGATTGATGACTCTCTTCTCCATGGCTTTTTTTTTTTTTTTTTTTTTTTTTTTTTTTTTTCATAGATCAAAGATCAATTTTTTTTTTTTGTAAGATGATACAAATTTATGTCTTGCAAATTGTTTGCTCGAGTTTGTGTGGTTTTTGATATTTGATTAAAAGAATCTCATTGACTCGCTAATTTTGTAATGCAAGGGTAAATTCAGTATTTTAATTTAAAATTTTGATGATGTAAATTAAAACACAAAACATGTAGCGGATAAAATATTTAGATCATACCTTTAGATGATAGAACCTCGTGAGTAAATCACGTGCTTCCAGAATCTGATAAACTAACCCAGCAGTGAAGTGATATTACAGAATGAATATCACCCACACAAATCACAGTGCAAATGGCTTGATCGTTGTTTTTTGGGAGAGAGTCAGTATATGCGTTGTTTTTTGGGAGAGAGTCAGTATATGGGTAAAACTCAGATCATACGTTGTTTCTCTCTTAATCACCCATAACCCATATACCAGATATATAATATTTTATTATTATCTATCCATATTAGTTAATGGAGATAATATCTGTATCCAGAGTGGTTATCTTAAATAGGTTTGAATTCAATTTCAAAACCTATTTGGATAAAATTCAAATTCAAATTCAAATGGTCATGCCACATGGGCGCCCATTACTAACATCTCCCACTCGCACATGAGTTGGCATGACACTGCCACATCTCTATCTCAATCTCCCAAAAAAACAATACGCTATTGAAGTCAACTTATTTTTCCTACAACTGGAAGAAAATAAAGCCTGTGCGTGCTTGATTATTTGGGTGGGAGGGGTGAGATTTGTTTAAGGGGCTAGGCTGCTATTGGATTTGTAAGGTCTACCATGTGTCTTATTTTGATAATTTAGATAGTTAATATATAGAGCTCATTAAATATTTTATCAATATAGAAAATTACATTGCTCAGATATTAATAGTTATTTGATTAGATCAGATATTTCTTAATAATTTATTTTGAAAATTGTACTTACCATTGACAGATATTTGATTCGATCAAGTAATTATCGATATCCGATCAACGTGATTTTTTTTCAAAGATAAAATACTCAAAAAATTCTACACACAATTTAAATTATTAAAATAGAACCTAGGCTAAATCACACTAGTTTGAACAATTCATTATAGTCCAAATCTCAACAGTAGGGATCTGACATTTTTAGAACATATCTAACGCTTGCTCTTTTCTTTTTCTTTTTTTTCTTTTCATCAAATTTGAGTTAAAATTTTTATCTGATACTCGGTGTTGTAACGTTAAATTTTCAATTTTTATCAAATAATCGGTTGTTTGGAAGGATGACTGAAAGGATGTTCGGGTGGTCATCCGGTCTAGTGTAAATTTTGTTCAAATTTTTCTCAATTTGATTGTCTACTCGGTTGTCAGGCCGATCGTCCACCCGATTGACCAGTTGGTTATCTATCTAATTGTCTATCGACGGTCATTTGTAAAATTTGACAAAAAGTTAAAAATTTATTTAATTTGATGATCAAATATGACTTTCTTTATTTAATACTAATTTGATAAAACAATTAAAATTGTATTTTTATTAAATTTAAATTTAATAAAAGTTTGAGTAATGATAAGAGATGGTCTTATAACACCTTAATTAAGGGTAATGCTAGAGACATCAAATTTTCTACCAAACAAATGACTAAATGTCTCACATGGGTATGGGGTCCGCAATTTTGTGGGTCCCACACCCATGTGAGACATTTGATCACTTATTTGATAGAAAATTTAGGACTTCTAACATTTTCTCCTTGATTAATTTTGCAATGCCGCCACGTCAAACCCACCTCCCAACTTAGCCCATACTGATTTAGACACGCCATCAAAATTGGAATGCGCAGAATTTCAGAAATTTATATGCATCAATTAATATATTAATTAATATATTAATATTAATTATGATAGTATTATTAATTCTATTAATTATAAAAAATAATATTATATGTATTAATTAATGTATACATTAATATATTAATAAATGATGTGACATCATTCATATAATTGTAGATATTTATACCTTGTATAATAAATGTGATCAATAATAATATCATAACACTAATTGATACATATAATACAAACGAATTATAAATATTAAAAATATCTTAAATTATACTATATAATTAATTAATACATTAATTAATACAATAATTGATGCATATAGTTTTATTTTCCAAAATAATATCAACTGATTATCTGATGAATGTGTACAGGAACTTCACTTCACACTACTCACTCTCACTCTCCATTAACGGAACAAACAACATCCCCAATCTGTCTCTATACATATACAGACAGACACACGTATAGTGTACATATATGTCACTTTCGTATTTAGTGAGGTGCTTCGCTGCAATGGCTGAACCTCCTAATAATAGAGCATTCGAACAAGGGAACTCGAAGAAGAAGAACCCAGTTGTGGAGATTGAAGTGTCGAGTGATGATGGAGATGATGTTGATAGGAGAGGGGAAGTGATGGAGACGACGGGGAAGAAGAGAAAGAAGAGGAAAAGAGAGCCTTCCGGAGAACTGAAAACAGAGGAGGCTCTGCTTCAGGACCCTCTGACCGTGTTTGGCTCAGATATCATGACCATGATTCTACGCCATCTCAACGCACCACGCGTGGCACTATCACTCCTTACCTCACGAACATGGTACGGAGTTGCTTCCAGCGACAGCCTCTGGAAAAGAAAGGTTTGCCTGCATTTGGGTTTCGCTTAACAATGTCAATTTTGGTTTCTTGATGATTTTGAAGTGATTTTTATTTTATTTTATGTTTTACAATTGGGTTTTGTGCTTTAATTTATAAGGCTAACTGTGTTTTCGATTTAGAGAGGATTCGACAATTGGGTTTTGGTGTGTGTGCGCGCGCCTAATGTGGGGGTCACTTTTGTTCTAGAGAGTTATTGGGTTTTAATTTGCGGCTTTATGTCAGTTTAGCCCTAGAGAATTGAATGTTGGGTTTTAATTTGCTATTGAATGCATGCCCATTTAGGGTTTTGCTGATTTTTGTTGCTGTGCTTCATTTGGTGTTCCACAGAGCTACAATTATGCAGGATATTGTTAATACCTAGTTGGGGATTATTTTCGGGAATTGAATTTTTTATTTTATTTCTTGGCTTGGTTTATAGCCAGCGGAGTTTACTGCTGTTTTTCTTATTGTTGAGGTCCATTTAGTAGCATTTTGTGAAGTGGTTTGCTTCACTTGTATGCATGGTTTTAAATAACAAAATCAGGATATGTATCGGTATTTGGCGATAAGAGTCATATATCAGCCAATATATTGATGAATAATGATATTAAAAATCTAAAATTTGAATACATAACGGCTAATACCATACGTGGCGGGTGATATTTAAAACCTTGGTTGTATGCTCGTAATTTATTATTATTATTATTATTTTAAATAATTACACTGGTCTACAAAATTTGAGAATTTATCTTGATTTTCTGCAAGTATGGCTTATTGTGTTTTGTTGCTTTGATTCCCTCATACGTGGCTAGCTTTTTTACTCATTGGTGTGAAATCCTAATTGGAGTTTCCTTTGAGTTTAAGTTTAGAGGGTGTAGAGAATGGAGGTTGAGTCAGCTCATTGGATGGAGCCTTATGGGAACTATGCTGGCAGGAATTAAGTTGGCGTTCCAGAGATGGCTAGGTGAGAGAGAGAGAGAGAGAGAGATTCCACTGGATTCTCCACTACATGATTTAGATCTTCCCATTGCTGTTTGATAATTCCCTTTTCTTTTTTTCTTCATAAATAACACAAATTGAGTTTTGAAAACTATATAAGAATTTGGAAGTTTTGATTAAAAGTCCATTTTGGAGAGCTTTTATAGCGTTTAAGGTTTGCTTTTTATTGGTTCTTATAATATTTGTTTGGTGTTGGATTCTATCATTAGGTGGCAAGCATAATTCATGATATTTTTAGGAGAAATAATAATACAGTGTACAGTCAAATAAAATTTATAAATTAATGAAAAAAATATATACTTTAATAATTAAAATGCTATATTTTTTATGATTTTTTTTTTTTTTTTTTTTTTTTTCCTTTCACATGAGAGCAGGATGTCATAAGCGAGTGGGCCCGAGAAGGCCTACTCAAACCATCGTGTCATCATCTCATTAATGTGATTAAGTATTATAAGCCACCGGTTTATGACCAATGTCATAAACTAATTCCAATCATCTTAATGTGTGAGTTCTCGAAGACAAGTTTTAAAGGTTTAGGCCCAACTAGGTCATGACTCACGACTAAGTCATATTCACTAGATCATAAAAAAGATGTCATGGAGATATCAAGTGCGCCTAAGTCGCAAATTTAACTAGTAAGTGCTAATCCCCTGCACCTTCAAGTCAATTTTATTCTCCATACACTTTACTGCATCTAGTTGAAAGATGACGATACTCCTCTTGCCATATCTATTTCTCGCTTCATAGTTACTTG